CCCCAAAACCCCAAAACCCCAAAACCCCAAAACCCCAAAACCCCAAAACCCCAAAACCCCGTGCCTTCAAATAGCAAATGAAGCAACAATATATAATTAGAATTTGTAAAACAGTACAATGGAGGCAAAGATTTTCATGGCTAGAGTCGCAGACCAGGCAGAGAGATACGTTGACATGGTTGATTTCCTTGAGCAGATAGTTGATGAGAGCGATGGTGATGTCAACACTGATGTAAGAAACCTTCTCAGTGTCGGATTCAAGAATTTGATCTCAGGACAAAGATCAGCATGGAAGACAGTCCAAGCCATTGAGCAGAATAAGAAGTATGCTGATTACCAAGCTGACTGTGAAAGCTACAGAGGAAAGATTGGAGAAGAATTAGCTTCCAACTGTGAGAAGGTTGTCAATATTGTGAAGAACAAATGTCTTGTTAAGGCTCAAGAAGATGAAGCAAAAGTATTCTACCTTAAAATGATTGGTGACTACTACAGATACACCGCTGAATCCGCCACTGGTGACCAACTTGCCGCAGTTACCGAGAATGCTCTTAAATACTATGATGAAGCAACTAAAGCAGGAGAGAATTTGAAGCCATACAACTCTACCAAGTTGGGACTGGCTCTCAACTTCTCGGTGTTCCACTATGAACTGAAGAATGACTCCTCAAAGGCTTGCTTAATTGCTGAAGAAGCTTTGAATGGAGCTAAAGAGAAAATCGACGATATGGATAACGAAGAGGCTAGAGACGCTCTCTCCATCATCGAGCTCCTTAAGGAGAACCTCGACCTCTGGAAGGAAGAAGAGGGCAACGATGACAACGACGAATAAGTCATGTAACCTTTCATTTTGAGCTTAAAAGCATTCCAAGAATCTTTTAACGATTTCCATTTTCTTTTTAGTAAATTTTGGGTTTGGATTTTCTATAATTTTCTTGTTCTCAATCCTGTCAGGGCTTTACGGGGTTTTGGGGTTTTGGGGTTTTGGGGTTTTGGGGTTTTGGGGTTTTGGGGTTTTGGGG